CCTCCGTCCAACGTGGGTCGGGGGTCGGAGTCTCCCTTCCTGTCATCCCCTGACCACCACCCCCCAACCGAGCGGTCAGATTTCCCGAGCCTCGAACAAGGGAAGAAATCTCGGAGAGAAAACGGAAATTCTTTCGCATGGAGGGTGGCCGAGGCTGGGCCATCGAGACCAGTGGAGGCCGAGAGAGATTTCTCATCAAGAATGTCAGGGGGAGAAGTTGGCCGGGGGGGATCAAGCTCTCGAGTCATAGAGTCCTACAGCACAGAGACAGACCCCTTTGCCCCAAACTGGGCCAAAAATTGTAAGGGGCAAACGCGGGAGAAATGATCAGGATGATCTGGTCAGCCACTATCTTATTGGATGATGGAGTGACCACCCCTATGGTGTTCCCATCACTGAATCCCCCCGCTAATAACATCCTGGGGGTTACCATTGACCAGAAACTCAACTGGACCCACCACATAAACACAGCGGCTACAAGAGCAGTTCAGAGGCTGGGAATCCTGCAGCGAGTAACTCCCCTCCTGACTCCCCCCAAAGCCTGTCCCACCATCGACAAGGCACAAGTCAGGGGTGTGATGGAATACTCCCCACTTGCCCTGGATGGGGGCAGCTCCAACAACACTCAAGAAGCTCGACACCATCCAGGACAAAGCAGCCCCTGCTCGATTGGCACCACATCCACAAACATCCCTCTCCCTCCCCCACCGACGCTCAGTAGCAGCAGTGTGTACCATCTACAAGATGCTCTGCAGAAACTCACCAAGGCCCCTCAGGCAGCACCTTCCAAACCCACGACCACTTCCATCTGGAAGGACAAGGGGCAGTAGGTACATGGGAACACCACCCCCTGCAAGTTCCCCTCCGAGCCCCTCCCCATCCTGACTTGGGAAATATATCGCCGTTCCTTCAGTGTCTCTGGGTCAAAATCCTGGAATTCCCTCCCTAAGGGACATTGTGGGTCAACCCACAGCACATGGACTGCAGCGGTTCATGGAGGTAGCTCACCCCCACCTTCTCAAGAGGGGCAACTAGGGACGGGGCAATAAATGCTGGGCCTAGTCACTGATGCCCGTGACATGAAAGAATTTTCAAAGGTGCCTTGAGGAACTCCATCCCACAGAGTGCCAGACATACAAACAACATTGCATTGTTCTTATTGGCTGGCATCTATTTCCAAACTAATCCCACTACCCTGTTCTCTCCTCAAATAATCCCTCTCCTTCCTCAGGCAGTTCAGGAAATTTGATATGTCCATAAGGACCCTCACCAACATCTACAGACGCACCACTGAAAGTATACTGTCCTGGTGCATAACAGCCTGGTATAGCAACTGCTCAGCCCAGGACCGTAAGAAACTACAGAAGGTGGTGCGCACACCCCAGACCATCACGAAAGCCAACCTTCCATCCATGGACTCCATTTACACGGCTCTCTGCCGGGGAAAGGCTGCCAACATCATCAAAGACCCCTCGCACCCTAGTAATGACCTCTTACAGCCTCTTCTATCAGGTGCAAGGTACAGAAGCCTGAACACATGCACAAGCAGGCTCTTTCCAGCTGTTGAATAAACTCTAGCCTCAAATAATGTAACCTGTATGCCTCTAAGTCTTTCTGATCTGTACATCCGTTGCTTGCTGTGATCCACCTGTACTGATCGTAAACAAAGCTTTTCACTGTATTTCAGTACACGGGACAACAAATAAATCAATCAATAACTGCTCCACTCTCTCCCCATATCCCTGTATCAATCCCCAAACTAATCCCACTGCCCCACTCTTTCCCCATATCCCTGTATCAATCCCCAAACTAATCCCACTGCTCCACTCTCTCCCCAT